CTAGAGGGAACGCGAATGGAATATTCCAACTGTTCACATGGAGACGTTGCTGAGACTGCAATGATGTAGCAAATTTCGAGGCAAAGATAATGTAGATTTCAAGAGACTGATGTGAAGATATTGTACAGTATAGGGAGAAATTATTGTAGGTGGACATATAGATATGCAGTGTATGAAACGACGATTATAGTTTTTGATACGAGAACAGGCCGCAATGTGAATACGGATGGTAAAGGGTGGTAACCTAAATGCAATGCAACTTGAAAACTTCTATACGATGGTCATCGAAATTTTATAGATTATACTCAAGACAAAATATTTTAAATAATATTCGCCAAATCCAGAACAATAGAACAGAAAACGGTAATGATAATAAAAACGACTATCAGCAGTGTCATACGTACAGAAGTAGAATTTCGACAATTGCAGTACTTTGTAGAGGGTAGCCTTCACTTCAAAACGTTACATCGGTAAAAGTCACATCTATTTCTCACAGTAAGTAGACGTGCAACTTTCTTCTGAAAATTTTGTGCATGTTTTGAGTTTTTACGAAAATTCGCCAAAGTGTCAACTATACATTTATTCATTTTATATTGGGTCTTTAGACACAATTGTTTGGGGTGGGTGGGTATCTAGAGAGCATCTTACCATAACTTATCTACTATTTATATTGGTTGTCATTGTTGGATCCTGCTGGTCTCTGTCTCAAAAATGACACAAACATAAAACCCTGCATAGGAAACAGTGCATTTTGTTCTTCAGTATTATTCATCCGGGGCAAGCACAGGCCACTTTACATATATATATATATATACATATATATATATACATATATATATATATATTATTTTTTACTGGTACGGAATTATGGGAGGGAGATGTGAAGAGAAAAACCGAGTCATGTTAACATTCAGTTAATTAGTAAATAGGGTAAATAAATATGAATCATTCAAATTAGATAAAAAATAAAATTTGTATGTACCACAGGCGTTAACTGGCTATTGATCTTGGGTGACAAAAAACGTTCGATCCTCCCTTATAACATCCTTGGTGCATAAATATTATTTTCAGTAATATTAGAGATGAAATTCTCTTATTCTTCAGATGTTAACTTGAAACACTCGAAACTTCATAAATATTCAACGTTCTGCTATAGGAGGGTAATTATAGGCACGCATTTTTAAATAATCTAAATTTAAATATTATTCAAAATATTATACACAAAAATTGAAATGGATTATAATAGCGATAACGGCCCTGGGAAGGAGTGAAAGTTTAGGACGAGCGCCCTTGCGGATTCAGCTCGAAGAGTTGCGGATACGAATCCCGCTTCAAGCGTGAATGTTGGATTGTGTTGTGGCATGGTGGGGCTCTTGTACCATCACGTATCACCTTTCAACCCTCTTCCTCCCATTCCTTGCCCGCCTGGTGCCTTCGAGCTTGGGTCTTCTGCTCATGCGCACGCGTTTCACCAAGACTATAGGTTTGTTACGCGCGTAAATACGACTCCCCACGTTCGACAGTCGCCAAATAGCGAACTACTGCTAGCCCAATCTCGAGCAGCTGATGTGCTCAGCAAATGTTCGCCTGGTTTGATGTGTCAAAAAGACCCACACACGCTGGATAGGGCGAGCACCGAACGTTCGTCGCTCGGCAAATAGCAAGAGAACCCATCCACCTTATTCGGGATTCGTCGAGCGGTCGCTCGCTACTCCCCGAATACCGAAGGGTAGGGCTGCCTTAAAACATGGATATGTGATATGAAGTGGTGAGATAGACATGTATTACCCGGCGTATGTAAATTGGAGACCAGAAGGAAAATAAAGAGTTTAACCTTTGTGTAAATTGGGAACCGACCCAGAATGAGCATACGTAAATTGGGAACCGAATATCTCATCCCCTTTCAGGTAAAAATGGAAAGTCACCCCATATTTTCCAAGAATATTTTCATAGCCATTACTTTTAAAACACAACTCCCTTCCCAATTTTTCAGACTTAGAACTGGCATATTTCTTTCGAAATACGGTTGAGGTAATGTCGATTTTCATTCAATTGAATTACTTGTTTATTGAATAAATTGCGACATTTTGTTGTACTAGTACTGCCATTTTTGAAAGCTAGTTGCATTACGTCTTTGTCAATTACATAAACATTTTTATTGCGTGCATGGATATGCAGCGTATTTTCCAAAGGAAATTCTGCTTATCTTACAATTTTGATATTCTTCGTTTTGTAGCTAATGTTCTATAACGTTGGACATGGAATTTGGACATTCTTCTAGTGCTTTCTTTGCTTTTCATTTTGATATAGGAGCGAATCTGGAAGATTATCAATAAGATGCAAGGAAAAGCTGGACAGTAGCGCGGCTGCGGCGGCCGCCTTAACGATTACTTGCTTATTCAATCCTTCTCCTTACCTGGGTTGGTTTGGTCCCCGATTTACACAAAGAATTAGAAAGTAAGTTTCGCGAGGAAAGACAAAGGGATTGTTTAGTTACCAATTTTAAATGCTCGTATTACCTTCCGAACCCACTTCCTTCTCGATCCTTTCCGACCTAAACTCCCCCAAATCGGTTTTCCGTACCTCTCTGAAGCTGGCTAGCCACCTATAGCGGACCACAAGAAACTACATGCCATCGTTTAATACTA